GAAAGAGTCAAAATTCTGGTGCTCTTAAACTTTTTATCATATCCATGGTCTTGTGAGGCATTATACTGTAAAAGGCACAAAAAGATACGTATTATTTAGAAGTGATAGATATGCACATTTATTTCACAGCAGATCACTATCCAATGTTCAGCTGTATGTTGCATGCTTAAAATCAAGGCTAACAAATCTCAACCCTTAAGTAAATCCATTTTCATTTTGCTTTTTTAACAATAACAGATGTATACATATACTTTCAAATCTAAACTCCTGTAACAAATTTATATTTCTATTTTTTAATATGAATTGAGGCTTATGGATCTTTAATTTTTTGTGTGTGTGGTACACGGGCCTCTCACTGTTGTCACCTCTCCCGTTGTGTGGCTCAGGTTCTGGATGCACAGGCTAAGTGGCTCCTCCCAGACGGGGTCACGAAACCTTGTCGCCTTTATCGGCAGGTGGACTCTCAACCACTGTGCCAACAGGGAAGCCCTATGTTTATTATTTTTTTAATGTTGAGCCTTCTTTTTTTTATTTTTTGGCTGTGTCTGGTCGTTTCTGTGCAAGGGCTTTCTCTAGTTGTGGCAAGCGGGAGCCACTCTTCATCGTGGTGTTTGGGCCTCTCACTGTCGTGGCCTCTCGTTGCACATGCTCCAAACGTGCAGGCTCAGTAGTTGGGATATTCATGTCTTTTCTAGGTGACCTGTTGAAATTTTATCTCAACCTTCCTCCAACTTGACTTCCATCATTCCGCCTGCTGGATTCAACCTTCAGTTCCCCGAAAATCATGATGACCCAAAGTGAACTATTATTTCTGTCACACCAATACCTTCTTTTAATTTAGGTCCTCCTTTCATTTATTCAAGTAGAGAACCCAGAAACTATCTCTGACTCATTTTCTCTTCTTCAATTCCTGTATTATGTCCTCTTCCTACTTAACCCACATACTATCATAGCCCCCAGCTTCTCTCCTAACAACCTTCAACACTCCAGACCATTATATGTCCTGCCTCCAAAAGGATCTTTCTAGAACACAGCATCTTGCCACCCCTGTAAATTTTCAAAACTTTATTATGGTCTAGTTGGGACCCAGTGTAGGCCACCCAAAAATGTGTCTCAGCATATTGTTTATTTTGAATTAAAGTTACTTACAAAATGCCAACACAAGAGGGACACTCTGACCTTCCTCTCTGTATCTGAAAGCAGGAAGAAAATCTCTCATGTGAAAGGGGCACTCCCCGTATCTAGAGGTAGGACTTCCTTATCACAAAGACGCCTGTATAAACAAACCTTGTCACGTGTCAATTTTACCATTAGTCCAGCCACAAGAACTCAAGAAGGGTAGAGGAGGGAATTACTCTGTAACCGACAGTCTACACCATTCTGCATGAAATGCTCCTTGCACCAATATTCTTTGCACTCCTGGTCTCCCCAGGTCCTCAGATTTGCCAAGATCCTTCCTCAATTGCTGCTGCATCCCTTTGCTACTGCCTAGGATGCTTTTCTTTTTCTATCACTTGCATCCAGATAGTTACAACTCAACTTTGAAGCACAGCTTAGAAATCATATAGCCTGCCAGGAAGCGCTCCTTATCTGTTCCTAACAACTGCAATGAAGTTATTTCTATAATTACCGATAAAAAACAATGTTGTCTTAAGAACAATAAATTAGTTGGGTTATAGAATATATGTCTTGTTTCTCAATATTACTTGGTTAGCAATCAGCTGGTATTTGTTTAATGAAAAGATCACCATGAAAGTCCCATTTTTACTTAAAAGTATTAATAGGGAAACGATATTAAGCACGTGTAAAATTATACCTCTCATTAAATTAGAATATTTATTGAGGAATGTGGTATTCTCTTTTAGCAATATTCAGGATAGCTGATAGAGCATCAATTATTGAGATCATTTCCCAAGAAAAATTTAAAATTTTTAGCAAATTAGCATTCCTTGATAGGAATCCGAATGATTAACTTGAAGCAATAATAAAAAAAATAACCTACAAAAATATTTTTCTAAGCAATATGAATGTCAAGTTACATCATTTCCTTGGGAAATATTATTGAATTATGTGTGATATTTAAATGTTTATGTATTTACAGAAAACAGTAGACAGAAAAGCAAAACCTAATAAATCACCCTAACAGTTACGAATGCAACCCAAGTGGAATATACAAAGAGTTGAGTAATTTCTTCAACAACCATTCTCATTTCCTAAGATAACCAGTAGGACAACTCCAGAGTAGGCACATAATTCATTTTAGCAAATACATCATCTTTGCCCTAACCTGAGGTGAACAGGTACCCCAAATCTTTGGTTCAGAATACTCCTTTGCCTAACTCAGATGTCTGACTGATCGTCCCACTGTCAGGTGTGAAAGTAGGAAGGAACTGTCAAGGACACATTTTGAAGCCAGAATATTTTTGAATAACTTTCTTCTTTCTTTCATTCTTTTTTCTTTCTTTTTCTCTTTGTTCTTCCTCTTTCATTCTTTCTTCTTCTTTTTTTCTTTCTTATTTTTGGCTGTGTTCCGTCTTCATTGCTGCACGGATGCTTTTCTAGTTGCAGTGAGTGGTGGCTACTTTTCATTACATTGCACAGACTTCTCATTGCGCTGGCCTCTCTTGCGGAAAACTGGCTCTAGGTGTGCGGGTTGCAGTACTTGTGGCATGCAGGCTCTGTAATTGTGGATCAGGCTCTATAGCACAGGCTCAGTAGTTGTGGAACACATGCTTGGTTGCTCCACAGCATGTGGAATCTTCCTTGACCAGGGCTCAAACCCGTGTCTCCTGCATTGGCAGGAGGATTATTAACTTGCACCACCAGGGAAGTCCTGACTCTTTGTGAGGATCTGGGACACACCACAGGAAGTGGTTCCAGAGATCCCCAGCTTTCCTATTTTCCAGCTTCTACTTGGAGAAGTGGGGGCAGGAGGAATTGTGATTTCCAGCTTCACTGTCCCCTACAGGAAGACAAACAGTGTGCCACTTATCCCAAATTGGCTAGGGCAAAAGAAATAAGGAAAAACAGAGACAAAATAATAAGGATGAAACCTGCACCAGTGGGAAGGAGCTGTGAAAAAGAAAAGGTTTCCACACACTAGGAAGCCCCTTCACGGGCCGAGACTATGGGTAGAAGAAGGCGGAAAGTTCGTAACCAGGGAGGAGAATACAGCAACAGGGGTTCGGAGGGCAAAGCAGAGAGATTCCCACACAGAAGATCAGTGCCGACCAGCTCTCATCAGCCTGAGAGGCTTGTCTGCTCACCCGCCAGAATGGGTGGGGGCTGGGAGCTGAGTCTCAGGCTTCGGTCCAGTCCCAGGGAAAGGACTGGGGTTGGCTGCATGAGCACATCCTGAAGGGAGCTAATGCAACACTGCTGGCCAGGAGGGAGTCCGGGAAAAAGTCTGGAGCTGCCGAAGAAGCAAGAGATACTTTTTGCTTTTGTTTCCTGGTGTGCAAGGAGAGGGGTTTAAGAGTACCACTTAAAGGCGATCCAGGGATGGGCACAAGACGTGGCTATTAGCACACACTCCAAAGGCGGGAATGAGATGCTAAGGCTGGCGCTGCAGCCACCAAGAAGTTTGTGTGAAAGCACAAGTCACTCTCCACACCTCTCGTCCCAGGAGCCTGTGCAGCCCGCCAGAGTCCTGTAATACAGGGACCACTTCCGTTGAAGAACACACGGCGCACCTCAGGCTGTTGCAATGTCATGCTGGCCTCTGCCGTTGCAGGCTCGCCCCGCTTTCCCCACAGGGCTGAGTGAATCAGAGCTCCCAAATCAGCTGCTACTTAAACCCCGTCCTGTCTGAGCGAAGTACAGATGCCTGCCCTCAGGCGACCTCCATGCAGAGTGGATTAAATCTCCAAAACCAACTTGATGTACCGTGCACCTGTGGAATAACTGAATAGACAACGAATCATCCCAAATTGACAAGGTGGACTTTGCAAACAAATGTATATATATATTTTTTCCTTTTTTCTCTTTTGTGAGTACGTATGTGGAAGCTTCTGTGTGTCATTCAGTCAGTATAACTTTGCTTTTAACATCTTAGAGTTCTGTCTGGTTTTTCTTTTTGTTTTTGTATAATTTTTCGCACTAGTTATCATTGGTGGACCATATTATTGATGTGGTTGTTCATTCTTTTTTTATTACTTAAAATATTTTTAATAATTATTTTTTATTTTTCATTCTAATAATAACTTTATTTTATTATACTTTATTTTACTTTTTATTTTTTCTTTCCTTTTTTCCCCATTTTATTCTGAGCCATGTGGATGACAGGCTCTTGGTGCTGCAGCCAGACTTAATGGATGTGCCTCTGAAATGAGAGAGCCAAGTTCAGGACACTGGTCCACAGGAGACCGCCAAGCTCCACGTAATATAAAAAACAGCAACACCAACACCCAGCTACACTCAACGACCAGAAAGCTACAGTGCTGGACGCCCCATGCCAAACAACTAGCAAGACGGGAACACAACACCATTGACAAGCAGAGAGGCTGTCTAAAACCATAATAAGACCATAGACACCACAAAACAAACCACCAGGGCCGACCAGCCAGCCAGAAAAACAAGATCCCACCTCGTTTACCAGAACACAATCACTCTCACCTCCACCAGGAAGCCTACACAACACACTGAAGCTACCTTAGCTACTGGAGACAGACACCAAAAACAGCAGGAACTAGCAACCTGCAGACTGCGAAAAGGAGACCCCCCCCCCACCACCACCAAACGCAGTAAGTTAAGCAGAATGAGTAGAGAAACACACAGCAGGTGAAGAAGCAAGGCCAAAAGCCACAAGATGTAACAAATGAAGAGGAAAAGGGCAGTCTACCTGAAAAATAATTCGGAATAAATATAGTAAAGATGA